ATTGTTTGAATACCTCAATAAGACAACTTCTTAATCATTTCTGCTCCAAGGAGAATAAGCACAATTTCTCTAATCTTTCCTTGAATCTGAAATCCCTCACTCCTGGTATCATTCTAGTAAATCACCTTTGACCTCTCTCCAGGGCTTTGACATCCTTCCTTAAATAAGGTGCCCAGAAAAGAACACAATACTCCAAATGTGTTCTGAGCAAGACTTAGAGGGGCAGCATCACTTCCTTGCTTTTATACTCTATGCCTCTCTTTATAAACCCAAGGATCCTATAAGCTTCTCAACAACTGTTTCAGCTTGCTGGGCCACCTTCAGGGAATTGTGTACTTGAACCCCAAGGTCCGTCTGCTCCTGTCCTCCCCTCAAAGTTAGTAGGAACTGCAGATGCTGGAGAATCTGAGATAACAAGCTGTAGAGCTGGATGAACACAGCAGGCCAAGCAGCATCAGAGGAGCAGGAAGGCTGACGTTTCGGGCCTAGACCCTTCTTCAGAAACTAATTTACAGCAGACATGTTAAAGTTGGGGCCAACAATCTACATCTTCGCTAGGTATTAACTTTCTTTCAAATTGACATTCCCTCAAAGTTGTATCTTTAAGCCTGTATTGCTTCTCCGTGTTTCTTCTACCAAAATACATTATGTCACATTTCTCCACATTAAAATTCATCTGCCAGGTGTCTGCCCATTTGGCCAACTTATCAATGTCTCTCTGAAGTCGCTTAGCATCATCCTCACAATTTATGACTTGAAGGGTGCCACTTTCTACACCTTCAGTTCTGCTCTGAAATGTTAGCTTAGACCATGTGATGAGGTCTCCAGAAACGCCTTGAAGCCATGACGCTCAATTTGAAAGAAATTTAATACCTAGCGAAGATGTAGATTGTTGGCTCCAACTTTAACATGTCTGCTGTAAATTAGTTTTAATCTCTTATCGTGACTTGTAAGAGAGAATTGAATGCTTCTCTTATGAAGGAAAAAGACACTCAATAATTTGCACAGTAAAGAGAATAAGGTAAGAGTCTCATGATCTTTCTGCATTTAATTTACAGAGATTTCCAAATATTGTGTTTAGATCCCTTTACAAACTCTATGACCAAACTTGACAATGTATTTGGTTCACAGTCCCAGTGTTTAGTTCTACTTGTGAAGTTATGTATATTATCAGCTTCAAACTTCCAGCCAATAGTCAATCAAAATCTACATTGTGATAAAGCTCCTAAAGCCTAAAACTCCCAGAACTGTCAAAAAATTTTGCTTGCTAGCTATAGTAGAGATAGACTACTGGTGATTCACAGAGGCAATTTATTACGTGGGTTTTGCTGTAATAATATCAGTGAATCTATTTGCATTCAGCATCAGTGCAGAGTAAATCTGACAGCCATTCTGACCTACACACCTGAACAGATAAACTTAGAAATCTAGAAGTTGCTGCCAGAAATATCCCAGTACTCTAAAGGAAGTTGTTGTTGCAGTCTTTGTCAAAAAGACTCATCACTGAAATCAGCAATGATGTGAATTTTCAGCATCTATCAATTTGTAGCACACTAAAGACAACTGAAAAAGTTAAGGCTGTTATTGAGACTACATTTAGAAGTGAGAGTGAATTTGTGACAATGGAATAAGTCATAATTAATTTTGACTAGCCTAAGTGGCCCTGAAAAGTAATTTTTTCCCCAGCTGCAGAGTCTCATTCCTTCTTTGGAAAATTAACAATGCAGACTTATACGAAAAAATATTATTTTAAAATTTTTCCTATCCATCCCTCATCCATAATCGCATCTGTACTTCTCGGTCTTATTTATCTTTTATTATGTCATTTAGATTAGAAGAAACTCTGCATTTATTGGTAAGGGTACTTCAATTGCCATTGCCTTCTTTGTTTACAGATGTCACAGATTCCATGTAAAAGACACCATGTATGGAAAACCCCAGGTTACTGGAAACCTCTGGAAAAAGACTGTAAGCAGTTTCCAATAAGTCATGAGTATTATTCCAAACAAATGTTATACCTTTCAACCCAATATATAAATCTTATTATTATTGCATGTTACAGGCTTTTGCAAAGTTGCTTGCGATTTAATTCCTTTCTTTTAAAGATAATATGCTGAGAGGAATGTATACTCCGAGTTCCTCTTTCTCCTTACCTGCTATTCAGAACTCTTCACAATTAGCCTTTTGTGTTGCATGTTTGCACTGCAGTATTAGAGTCTGTAATTCATTCATTCCTATTCCAGAATTAAAGCAGCAGGCTAAAACTGCTTGACCTTGCAGTCTGGATCAGAAATATTGATTGCTTTTTAACAAAATAAATTCTTATGAATCCATATGAATGTTTGGTATCAAATTCTGGTTGATACAGTGACATACAATGCTAACAAACATGTGAAAATACTTATCAGAACCCAACCACATTGTAACCAAACATTAAATTCATTATTTGTAAGAGATGTGATTTAACTTGAAGGTGTTCTCCTAAAGAACCTTAGTCTGTATTGGTTGGATTAATTTCTGAAGGTTGTAATATTAAATTCACAAATAATCAGCATTCATTTATTTTCATTGTGGCTAATAAACTAAAACAGAAGGCACATGTGAATAATTCAGGTGTTAGCAGTTTTCAGTTCAAGTTAGATTAATGATTGCTTTTAATGATTCCAGCTGACTAATAATTTGAACACAATATTCAAAAGCATGTCGATCACATTTCTCAGAAATTAAAGTTGTTTTACAAGACTGCGATCTAGCCATTATATGAAATTGGTATTTGGTTAGAGGGTGCTCTTTTTAAAAAAGAACACACCAAGTTCTGCACCATAACTGAACAGGCCTATGAAATTATGCTTTAAAAATAAATAGAAATTGGTTAACAAAAAGCATAAGATGTAATCAGTTGTATTGTCATAATGTGCAAATCCAAATGGCTGTGCAAAAATATACACTGCACAGTATTCTGGTTTCCCTTTCGATTTTAAAACAAAACTTAAATTTACTGTTCATGGTATGTGCTTGATGCTAGCTTTTAACATATTTTATGAACACTTTTTAAGCTTACAGTGTGTCTGTGGGCATCTGAGAATAGTGTCTTCCAGGATCAAATAGCTTATATATGCTCATTATTTAAGCTTACACATGATAAGTGATTACTTGGATGAAGTGTCAGAGAGATACCAGGGACTGTAGAATTGTATTTCATCAGATGAGGGTAATTAAAGGAATAAATGGCATGGGAGGAAAAGTAGACAGTGATTATCACTGTATCAGCTCCAAATAACTATGCTAATATCTGTCTCAGATAATCTGTAACATGTTTATTTGTAATCTAATTATGTTCCTGTAACGTTTCAACTATTGAACTTATTCTTCACTATCAATACACAAAGCAACTAAGAGCACAAAATGTTATATATTGAGAAAACAATTTTGGAGTAAGGAATGCAGTGCTCATCACTGTTAGTAAATCTTACAGTGAACAATAAACAAAACATGACTGCAGAGGCATCGCAGCATGGTGTCTCTGAATGGCCATCTCTTGCAGGAAAAGAATCAGCCAACAGGTTCAAAACACATATACTGCAGCTGTTAATTAATCTGTGGTAGCAACTCATATACATAATAACAGTTCAACAAAGACAAGCAGTTAGCTTATTTACTTGAGCAGTTCCTTAGTATGCACATCCAGCATTGAGCTGTAAACATACAACACACTTCTAACAGACTTTTTAAATCCAAAAGGAGCAAACATTCAACTGACAAAACAAGGGAAATCTCAGGAACAGGAGCCTAGCAGACGTAGTTATCATTAACCAGAGTCAGCCATGTGCATCAGCTCGTGGCAGCATACACTGACGAGCGCAGCCACACACAACAGTTCTGGCTGATTCTACTGAACGCACAGCAGACAGACAGACAGACACAGTGCTGTACTTACAATCATCTGCCATTATCAGAGAGCAGAATAATTAAAGAAAATGATAATCAGACCAACATATTACTTTTCTCGTTTAAATACAAACTTCAAATCAGTTGATTTTATAACCTTGTTAATGAAAACTTTTCAACACTAAAGTCATTTGGTTAGATTTTTTTTAAAAACAGACTGAAATCTGAAGGTTCTAATGATTAAAAATCTGTGATATGTTGACAATAAAAACCACTAAGTATTTGAAAGCCTTTCAAAAAAAGCTCTTGCCCTTTCAGACAAGTACCATTTAATTAAAAAATGGATTTACGGAAAGTAAAGATCATATTTTGTATCAGTGCCCACACTGCACTCTGAACAAAATTTCAATCTTAATGACAAAGGTCTTCATGGAGGTTAAATTCTTGGCAGCTAAGCAATTACTATTAAAATGTTTCCCTTCTTTTGCAAAGGAAGGTAGATTTAATTACTATTAACACAGAAGCAAATGCTTACTATACAATCAGAGTATCTGGTGAAAATTAATTTAAATTAACAACGCTTTCCCCCATTCTTTTTCTGCGTAGGACTGACAGAACTAGGTTGAAGAAAGAAAGACTTTACCAAACCCAAAACCTAGGAGAAATAGTTGTCGCTCTATTTTGATCTTACTTACAGCATTGGTAAATAAAAGGAATGCTTACAATAATTGAAATAGAATGCATTTTTCAAATGCTTACATTGACCAATGTCCCAGTTCAGCTTATCCATTAGAAAATATCTGGGCAAGGAACTCAATTCAACATGGTGAGTTTTCCTTCTGTGTACATTTTATTACTAATTTACAGCACCTTCTCATAATAGTATAATCTTCATATAATAAAAGTAAACTCAAATATTGTTACCTATTTTTACAAAGATTGGCGATTATGAATAATATATAGAATATTTTAAAATTAACATGATTGATCACTTTATTTTTCTACAGACACAATAGTTCAATCCAATATTTCTTTTGGCCATGCTACATTAATTTGCTGTACAGATTCACTAAACCAGAAACATTAATTTAAATTCAGAACCTGCTACTCACTGTTTGATCAGTTAAAGGTGGCAAGACAATAGTTTTCTCCATTGTGTTCATTACAATCCTCCATAATTCTTTTAAGACACGTTTCAACACAGTTTTCTCACAGATTTTTGCAAAGAGTGTCAAACTGGAAGAGGAAGAAAATTTACACAAATATTTAAAAGTAGTAACTGCGACAATTTGTAAACATTTAGGGCTTTTAACTTATTCCACGGCACTTCAAAGAGACATGTTATATGGTGTGTTTTAATGGCAGAGAGAGACATAAAACGGCAGGCTTACAGAGAACATTCTAGAACTAAAGGCCTTGCTATTTGAAGTCATGGCAGCCAATAATGCAGTGAAGTAAATTCATTTTGCATAGAAGGCCAGAAATGAAGGAGTGCAGGGTTATGGAGCTGGAGATGGTTATGGCCATAGAGCTGAGAATGAAGGAATCTGAACACAGAAACAAATTTTAAAATTTGAGGCAATGCCAGACTCGAAGCTAATGTACATCAGTGAAAAAAGAGGTGATATTTGAACAAGGCACAGTATTTGTTAGGAAACAGGCAGCAGAGCTTTGGATGAGCTGAAGTTTATTTGTCCTAAATTTGAAAAAAAACTTCAAAGCTAATTAATAAATGATTAACTAACTAATAAATTAACTAAGTGGAAATGGCTGGGCAGGTGACATGCTGTGGCTGTATGATGTGGGAGCTGCCTGATCCCATTGCGAACTGCAGTGACCACATCTGCAGCAAGTGTTAGTTGCTCGAGGAACTTTGGCTCAGAATTGATGAGCTGAAGTCCGAGCTTCAGACACTGCGGCACATCCGGGAAGGGGAAGAATCACTTGGTCGCTCTGCTTCAGGAGGCAGTCACACCTGGTAGATAAAAGTACCACAAATTTGGTCAGTGGCTAGGGACAGCAGGGTGTGACTACAAGTGAGGCAGGTAGAGGGATCCTGCATTCAGAAACAGAGGAGCCTTCAGGGCAGCATGGTGGTTCAGTGATTAGCACTGCTGCCTTACAGCACCAGGGACCTGGGTTCGATTCTACCCTCGGGCCACTGTCTGTGTGGAGTTTGCACATTCCCCCATGTCTGCGTGGGTTTCCTCCAGGTGCTCTGGTTTCCTCCCACAGTCCAAAGATGTGCGGGTTAGGTGGATTGGCCATGCTAAATCGACCATAGTGTTCCGCTGTGTAAGTTAGGTGGACTAGCCATGGGAAATGTAGGGTTACAGGGAAGGAGTAGGGGATGGGATTGGGTGGGATCTCTTTGGAACGGTGGTGTGGACTTGTTGGGCCAAATGGCCTGCTTCCACACTGCAGGGATTCTATGATTATGATTCTAGATCTTGACCTTGTCCAACAGGTTCTTGCTCCCTGTGTGGATAAGGAAAGGACTGTAGGAAGGATGAGCTGACTGACCACGGCACTGTGGCACAGAAGGCCATTCAAGACGGCGGAGCAAAAAGACAAGCGTCAGTTGCAGGGATTCTATAATTAGGGGAATAGAGAGCATCCTTTGTAAGCAGGATAGAGAGTCCTCCATGGTATGTTCTCTGCCTGGTCCCTCACCCTGACATATCTCTGACCGGCTTGATATTGGAGAGGGAGGGGGAGGATCCAGTTGTTGTGATCCACGTTGGGACAAACAACATAGGCAAGACTAGGAAAGAGGACTTGTATAGGGATTATCAAGAACTGGGAAAAAAATTAAAGAACAGGTCCTCAAGGGTTATAATCTCCGGATTACAACTCAGCCCACATGCAAATTGGCATAGAGATGCGAGAACAAGGGAAGTAAACACATGGCTAAAAGTGTGGTACGGGAAAGAGGGGTTCCTTTTCATGGGGCACTGGCATCAGTATTGGAACAGGAGGGATCTATACCACTGGGACAGTCTCCACCTGAACCGACCTGGGACCAATGTTCTAGTGAACAGGGCAAATAGGGTGGTCAACAGGACTTTAAATTAGAAAGTGGGGAGTAAGTGAACGATAAAACTCCAAGTAGTATAATGGCCAATGGGAAACAAAGCAGCAGGTTAACATCTGTGGGGATGGATCCAACTGGTTGGAAAAATATGAAAAAAATTAAAGGAAAGGAGAACTCAGGAGAGGTTATTAAAATCTCCAGCACACAAAACAGGACAGTGTGTTTGGAAAGGTTTAAGAATCAAACTTCAAGCACACTGGATAAACAAATGACAATGAGAAGAGGGACAGTCAATACAGGACTGAAAGTGTTGTATCTGAATGCACGCAGTATACAAAATAAGGTAAATGAGAAATTGGCAGGTAAGATGCAGTGGGCATCACGGAGATGTGGCTGCAAGGGGATCAGGATTGGGAGCTAAATAACCAAGGGTATACATCCTACTGAAAAGACAGAGATAGTAGGAACTGCCGATGCTGGAGTCGGAGATAACAAGGTGTGGAACTGGATGAACACAGCAGGCCAAGCAGCATCAGAGGAGCAGGGACCCGAAACGTCAGCTTTCCTGCTCCTCTGATGCTGCCTGGCCTGCTGTGTTCATCTAGTTCCACACCTTGTTATCTACTGAAAAGACAAGCAGGTGAGCAGAGGGGGTGGGGTTGCCTTATTAGTAAGAAATTAAATTAAATCAATAGCAAGAAATGAAGTAGGGTCAGATGATGTAACATTTGTGTGGGTAGAGTTGAGAAACCGCAAAGGTTAAAAAATCCCATGACATGAGTTATGTACAGGCTTCCAAACAGTAGTCAGGATTTGGGGCACAAGATAGATCAGGAGATAGAAAAGGCACGTAAGAAAGGCAAGGTTACAGTGATCATGGAGGATTTCAATATGCAGATGGACTGGGAAAATCAGGTTGGTAGTGGAATGCGAGAAAAATAATTTTTGTGGAATGTCTACGAGATGGTTTTTTGGAGCAGCTTGTGGTGGAGCCCACTAGGGAACAGGCAATTTTGGATTTAGTGTTGTGCAATGAGGCAGACTTGATAAAGGAGCTTAAGGTAAAGGAACCCTTTGGAGGCAGTGACCTTATATGATAGAATTTACTCTGCAATTTCAGAGGGAGAAGGTGGAATCAGATGAAATAATATGACAGCTGAACAAAGGCAACTACAGAGGCATGAAAGAGGAGCTGACCAAAACTGACTGGGAGAGGAGCCTAGCAGGTAAGACAGTGGAACACCAATGGCAGGAGTTTCTGGGAGTAATTTGGGACACACAGCAAACATTCATCCCCAGGAAAAAACAGCATACTAATTGAAGAGAAGGCAACCATTGATGGACAAGGGAATTCAAGGACAGCATAAAAGCAAAGGAGAAAGCATATAATGCAGCGAAGGGCAGTCTACATTGGAGAGGATTGGGAAGCCTAAATAGACGAACAGAGGACAATGAAAAAAAGAAATAAGGAGGAAGAAGATTAAGTATGAGGGTAAGCTAGCCAGTAATGTAAAAGAAGATTGCAAGAGTTCTTTAGATATATAAAGGGCAAAAGACAGATAATGGGCTGCTGGAAAATGATGCTGGAGTAGTAGTAATGGGGAACAAAGAAATGGCTGAGGAACTGAATAAGTACTTTGCCTCAGTCTTCACGGTTGAAGACATGAATAATATCCCACAAATTCAACAGAGTTGGGAGGCAGAGATGAGTATAGTGGCCATCACCAGGGAGAAGGTGTGGAAAAACTGGAAGGTCTTAAAGTGGATAAATCACCTGGACAAGATGGACTACACCCCAGTGTTCTGAAGGAGACAGCTGAAGAGATAGTGGAGGTGTTAGTGGTGATCTTTCAGGAATCACTGGACTCAGGGAGGGCCCCAGAGGACTGGAAAATCACTAATGTAACCTCCTGTTTAAGAAGGGAGTAAAGCAAAACCAAGGAAATTACAGGCCAATTCGCCCTCTATCGTTGGTAACATTTTGGAGTCCATTGTGAAGAATGAGATTTCTGAATACTTGGTAGTGCATGGTAAAATAGGACAAAATCAGTGAGGCTTCATCAAGGGGAGGTCATGCCTGACAAATCTGTTAGAATCCTTTGAGGAACCAATGAGCAGGTTAGACCAAGGACAGCCAGTGAATGTTATCTACCTAGACTTCAAGAAGGTCTTTAACAAGGTGCCACACAGCAGGCTGCTGAGTAAGATAAGGACCCATGATGTTAGAGGCAAGTTAATAGCATGGATAGACAATTGGCTATCTGGCAGAAAGCAGAGAGTGGGGTTAAAAGGTGGTGACTAGTGGTGACCAGTGTTGTTCCACAAGCATCACAACTTTTCACTTTATACATTAATGATCTAGCTGAAGGAATTGAGGGCATTCTGGTTAAGTTTGTAGACAATAGGTGGAGGGACAAGTAATACTGAGGAGGTAGGGAGGCTGCAGAATTATTTAGCCAGGTTAGGAGAGTGGGCAAAGAAGTGACAGATAGAATACAACATGGAAAGTGTGAGGTCATGCACTTTGGTAGGAAGAATACAGGCATGGACTATTTTCTAAATGGAGAGAAAATTCAGAAATCCGACATGCAAAGGGACTTGGGAGTCCTAGTCCAGGATTCTCTTCAAGTAAACTTGCATGTTGAGTTGTAGTTAGGAAAGCAAATACAATGTTGGCATTTATTTTGAGAGGGCTAGACTATAAAAGCAGAGATATATTTCTGAGGCTTTATAGTATTAGAGTATTGTGAGCAATTTTGGGCCCCATACTCCAGGAAGGATGTACTGGCCCTGGTGCAGGTCCAGAGGAAGTTCATGAGAATGATGCCAGGAGTGAAAGGCTTAACATATGAGGAACATTTGAAGACCCCGGGTTCATGCTCGATGGAATTCAGAAGGATCGGGGGGGATCGAATTTAAACTTACAGAATACTAAATGGCCTGGACAGAGTAGAAGTAGGGAAGATGTTTCCATTGGCAGGAGAGACTAGGACTCACGGGCACAGTCTTAGAGTAAGGGGAAGACCCTTTTGAATGGAGATAAGGAGAAACATCTTCAGCCAGAGAGTGGTGAATTTATGGAATTCATTGCCACAGAAGGTGGAGGCCAGGTTATTGAGTGTATTTAAGACAGAGGTAGACAGGTTCTTGATTGTCAAAGGGGTCAAGGGGATCAAGAGTTACAGTGAGAAAGCAGGAGAATCGGGTTCAGAAACTTATCAGCCATGATTGAATAGCAGACCAGACTCGATGGGCCAATTGGCCTAATTTCTGGTGATAGAGGGATCTGAGATCAGATTGATTTTGCAACTACAGCAGTAGTTTTCTTAAAGAAACAGGGTGGCACAGCAGGTCAGTGGTTAGCACTGCTGCCTCACAGCACCAGGGACCTGGGTTTGATTCCACACTTGGGCAACTGTCTGTGTGGAGTTTGCACATTCTCCTAGTATCTGCATGGACTTCCTCTGGGTGCTCTGGTTTCCTCCCACAATACAAAAAAAATGTGCAGGTTAGTTGGATTGGCCATGCTAAATTGCCCATAGTGTGCAGGGATGTGCAGGCTAGATGGATTAGCTATGCGAAATGCAGGGATAGAGTAGTGGGGGGTGGATCTGGGTGGGATGTTGTTCAGAGGGTCGGTATAGACTCGATGGGCCAAATGGCTTGCTCTCACGCTGTAGGGATTCTATGATTCTATGAAACATAAAACTTTACTAAGGCTGTTTTGATCTCATGGCTATAAAAATAAAAAAAAACTTAGTTGTATAGCTGCTTGCACAAACTCAGTACATCTAAAGCATTTTGCAGACAACTAAATTATTTTGAAGTTGTTACTGCTGTAATGCTGAAAATGGGGCAGCTAATTTGCATATAGTAAGACATAAGTCAACAATGTGATGATAATCAGAACATGATCTTTTTAGTAAGGTTGACTAAAGGATAATTATTTGCTAGAACATGATGCTACCTTTTGAAATAGTACATGGGGTCTTTATGTCCACTAGAGGGGCCAGATTTGAACTTAGCTCTCCCAAAAGACAGTACTTCCAAAAGTGCAGTATTCCTTCAGTACAGTATTGGAACGTTAGCCTAGATGTTGTTCTCAAAGCATTTGAGGGGGATTTGAACCCACAAATCTCTAATTCAGAAGAGACAATGTTATCCACTGTGCTGAAAACAACAAATGCTGGAGATCACAGCGGGTCAGAAAGCATCCATGGAGAGACAGCATGCTAACATTTCGAGTCTAGATGACTCTTCGCCAGAGCTCGTTTTTTTATCCACTGAGCCATGGCCAACACCTAGTAGATTATGTTCCTGATGCATGTATAATTTAAGAGATTTAAATATCTTTAAATATTTAAATATTTTTAAATCTTATTTTTCCGAAGTCACTATATCAAGCATCATTAGTATAGTGGTGTTATAAAATTTTAACTAGAGTTAAGAAGATAAAATCTATCCTGTTTTTATCATTTTATAATAGTAAAGGATCAACAGATTTTCTTCAACCTTAAATTAAACTTGGGTAATTTGTTTTGTAATACTTACGTAAAAGATTAGGTATTATGACATGGTGTGACATCTTTCATCTACTATAACCGAATTAGAAGGTAATATTGACCTTTTGTTAATTGTGCAAATTAGCTTGATCACCTACCATACACCTTTCCTAATTTTCTGTTTCCACTGACTATGAGGTGTCAAAATTGAGTCTTTTGCATATGTAGTTATTTTGAAAGAAGATGAATATCATACAACTCAATCCTTTCAAAGACTTAAGCGATGAGCTCAACAAACGTTCTGAATTCAAGATGTAGAAAACTCTGACTAACTTGCTATCCAGCAGGTCCATGAGTGGTTGGAGAACATTATCAGCATCCTGAGCCACACTGTTACAAGCGCTGGCAGGGACATTTCCTGTTCCTTTCACCTGGCTCAGAATATCTCCCATCTGTTTCACACATTCTTCAATGTGAGGCTGAAAACTGAAAAGTACAAAAAAAAATTCAAGCATGACATTATAAATAAATCAAGCTTTAAAACAAACCGGGATAAAGACCTAAAACACGAGATTAAATTCTGGTATCTTTTGTGCTAGGTCTTTAATCTCATTTGCAATCTATAGAATTCCTTGCCCAGTGAAGTAGTTGACGCTACTTCAGTAAACGTTTTTAAAGATAAGGTAGATTTTTTTTGAACAATAAAGGAATTAAGGGATACGGTGAGAACACGGGTAAGTGGAGCTGAGTCTCAAAAAGATCAGCCATGATCTTATTAAGTGGCGGAGCAGGCTCGAAGGGCCGGACAGCCTACTCCTGCTCCTCGTTCTTATGTTCTTATGTAATGGTTAATGTGCAAATAAATCAATGAAAATGAATATATTTTTAATAATTTTGATTGCAAAACTAAGTACTTCTTATATGTATGAAATTGTTACTAACACCCTGGACTTTTTACCTATTAGATAACACTTTAAACTGTTATAAAATAAAAATAAAAATAAAAATAAAAACAAAGAATTGGATGCCAAAAATCTGAAACACAAACAGAGAGTACTGAGGAACTCAATCAGTCTGGCAGCATCTGTGGAGACAGATGCAGAGTTAACATTTCAAGTCCAGAGATCCTTCATCATTATGCTGGTTATAAAAAATGATTTCCTCAAAGTAATAAATACAAGAATCATTATCTCTGTATAAGGTATTGTCTGGCCCTAGTACAGTGTTTTGTTGCAGGACAATCATTAGAACACCAGTCTAACAAACTACCAAGTGTGCATTAGTAGTCATTTGATAGTGCACATTTTGAAAATAGCTCAACAAAAAGACACATTTTGTCAAAACTTTTCATCTTGCACTCATCAGAAAATTTGCAAGAAATACCAACATAAAGGGAGGACAAAATTTTATTGTATGGGAGAAGGTTTTGACTTGTTGGTAAGTGGATTCCGATTGGCAGAATGCACCAGCTAGATAACAACTGGCAAGTTTTGTTCAAATCAGGCAAATTGACTCTGATTGATCAAGGTACTGACCTGTGAAATGGATCACAGAATGGCTGTCACCTGTTTTGTTGAGTTGAAATAGGAGCAATATGAGGACATGTTCTTTCTGTCTGCAAAGAACTAGGCCCTGTACATAAACCTATTTTTCTAATCAACTTGTACAAAGGCACACACTCTGCAGCAGGTGGGACTTGAACCCAAGCCTCTCGGTACAGAGATCGGGACACTATCGTTGTGCCACAAGAGGGCTCACACCTGTCGATTAACCTTTTTTTTCCTAATCAACCTGTACAGAGATGTTACTGCACACCTCTGAAGCTGGTGGGACTTGAACCCAGGCCTCTTGATCCAGGGGTAGGGACACTACCACTACATCACAAGAGGGCTCATACCCTGTATACTAATAGTTGTAGCTTCCAATGCACGAAGGTGTGTTCACTGTGAGCTCAACTGATGATCTTAAATTGGTTATTATCATAGGCAGATTTACAACAGGAAGGTACTGACCATACCCAATCAAAGGGATATAACCCACCAGTCTGAGATTATAACCAACACATCTAGCACTACATTGACTATGAAATTCATATACCACATAACTCATTTGAGTGATGGGCATCTTCTGCCTGTGCTTTTTTTCCCTTTATTCATTTACAGAATGAGGGTGTCACTTTTAGGCAGCATTTATTGCCCATCCCCAATTTCCCAGAGGGCAATGAGAGTCAACCACATTGCTGTGGGTCTGGAGCCACATGTAGGGTAGACGAGGTAAGGATAGCAGTTTCCTTCCCTATAGGGCATTAGTGAACCAGACGGGTTTTTTTTCCTGACTATCAGCAACGGAATCATGGTTATCACTAGATTCTTAACTCCAGAAATTTATTGAATTCAAATTCTACCATCTACCTTGGCAGGATTTGAACCCAGAACATTATCTTGGTCTCTGGATTAACGGTCCAGCGATAATACCACTAGGCCATTGCCTCCAATTGCTTGGAAAACTCAAAGTAAGGGTACATGTTTAGATGCAATTCTGCAACTGGACAACATTTGCTAAATAATCCGGAGTGTCCTAGGATGCATAGGCTAGGTGGATTAGCCATGGTAAGTGCAGGGTTATGGGGGTAGGCATTCTTCAGAGGCCTGATGTGGACTTGATGGGCTGAAAGGCCTCCTTCCGGTCTGTAGGGATTCTATGAATTTTGCTGACACCTAAGTTAAGATAGTCACCCTCTCACTGTGGTGCAGTTACACACACTGGAAGGTACATATATTAATACACAGTGTTGTGTTCTTTGCAGACAGGAAGAAAATGCATATAGCATGCCCTTTTTAACTTCAACAGGGGACAATCATTCTCCATTTTTTTTCTCAATGACAATGCCTGCAAATTTCAACAAAGCTTGCAAATTAGTCACCATCTAACTGATACATTCTCCATGACAACAACTCTATCGATCCAAGCCCACTTGTCAACCAATCAGCCCTTTCTTCTCATTCTTTTAGTCTTTGGTATTTCTTGCACATTGTGTGATGTGTGCAATACTGATGTGTGCAATACTCAAACATACATTTGCTTCAAAACTGAAAAGTTTCATACCGAACTTAGTCATTTAGAAAATTCTTCATTTCATAGGTGGTTTCCAGTTCATAACTAACTTAATTTCAGATGTATTTTAAGCATTAAAAGATGTTGAAATTCATACCTTAATGCAAAAACCCTGCTGAGATCATCCAGCACATTATTCAGTTTGATTTGCAGCTCTTTTAAGATGTCACTGGCTTCAGCATTCAACTGAAAATACAAATGGATATTTTGCTATATAAACTGTAGTCATTCAGAAAGACACAAGCTAAAATAGCAGGTTGAAAAATAAATTAGCAAAGAATTAAAAAAAAAAATTGTTGAGGGCCAGAAGCAAGCAGTAAAATGTTCTATCCTTGTTCATATGCTCATATCGTTTTCATAATTGCACAACTGAATGGCACATCAAAATAAGCTTCAGAATTTCTCATTGATAAGTACTGTACTAGAGTTTGTATAAACCCAATGTACACTTTCTCTCTCTGAACGGGAAAGGAATTGCAACACGTACCAATGATTCGCTTGAATTACAGAATAATGCCACACAACAGAATTAAAAAACATTCATCACAAATAGTTCCAACTCTTGACAGATATGAACACTCCATCTCAGAAGCTAATGGCTGTGCACGATAATGAACAGTGATGTCTTTTCAGTGCAAATTAGCCTAGAAAGAGGTAGTATTTACTTTTTGTAACAAAGTAGCACCTAAGTGTGAAAGCTTTCATATAGCTTTCTGTTTATTTCTATAGTTTTCTTATATTCACTTTTGGGATGAGGGAATCACTGGCTGCACAGCTTTTATTGCCTCTCCCTAGTTGCCCCTGAGGAGGTGATAGTGAGCTGCCTTCTTGAACCGCTACAGTCCATGGGCTGTAGGTACATCCACAATGCCTTTAGGAAGCGAATTTCAGGATTTTAACCCAATTACAGTGGAGGAGCAACAATGTACATCCAAGTCAGGATCATGGGTGGTTTGGAGGAGAACTTGCAGATGGTGGTGCTCCCATGCATCTGTTCCCCTTGTCCTTCTAGATGGAAGTGGCCATGGGCTTGGAAAGTGTTGTCCGAGGATCTTTGGTGAATTTCTGTAGTGTATCTTGTAGATAGTAGACACTGCTACTACTGAGTGTTGGTGGTGGAGGGAGCAGATGCTTGTAGATGTGATACCAATCAAGTAGACTACTTTGACTGGACGCTGAAAAGTTTGAGTGTTGTTGGAGCTGCATTCATCCAAGCAAGTGGGGAGTATTCCATCACACTCCTGACTTGTGTCTTTTAAATGGCGGGCAGGTTTTGAAGGAGTCAGGAGGTGAATTACTCACCACTGTATTCCTAGCCACTGATGTGTTCTTGTAGACACTGTACTTGTACGGCGAGTTGAGTCCAGTTGAGGTTCTGGTCAATGGTAATACCCAGGATGTTGATAGTGGGGGATTCAGTGATGGGAACACCATTGAATGTCAAGGGGTGGCGATTAGATTATATCTTATTGGATATAGCCATTGCTTGGCAATTGTGTGGTGGATGAGTTACTTGCCATTTATCAGCCCAAACCTGGATATTGTCCAGGTCTTGCAGCATTCGAAATGGACTGCTTCAGTATCCTAGGAGATGCAAATAGTGCTGAACACTCTATAATTGTCAGCAAACATCTCCACTTCTGACCTTATGATGGAGGGAAGGTCATTAATGAATCAGCTGAAGATGGTTGGACCGAGGACACTGCATTAAGGAATTTCTACAGCGATGTCCTGGAGTTGAGATGACTGACCTCCAAAAAGTACAGTTAACTTTCCACATGACAGGTATGACTCCAGCCTTACGCTTTTGTCAACTGGCTTTCGCTTTTTCCTGACAGCAAGTCTCCAGGTGCTCAATGCCTTCCCAGATGCTCCTCCTCCACTTTAGACAGTTTTGGGCCAGTGATTTCCAGATGTCAGTGGGAATGCTGCACTTCACCAGTGAGGCCTTGAGGGTATCCCTGAAGCGTTTCCTCTATCCACCTGGGGCTTGCCTGCTGTTTCAAAGCTGAGAGTAGAGCACCTGCTTTGGGTGTCTCGTGTCAGTTACGTGGATGCCATGCCTAGCCGTCGCAACCAATCAAGGGTGGTCAGTGCCTCGATACTGGGGATGTTGGCCTGGTTGAAGACGCTGGTGTTGGTATATCCGTCTCCCCAGCAGATTCACAGGATCTTGTGCAAGCAGCATTGGTGATACTGCTCCAGTGCCTTAAGGTGTCTGCTGTAGACAGTACATGCCTTAGAGCCATATAGAAGGGCAGGAACGACAGCTTGATAGCACTATTGTTGACACTTTCCTTCATATTATTGATGATTAAGAGTAGACTAACAGGGTGGTCAATGGCCAGGTTGGTTTTGCTCTGTTTTTTGTGTACAAGACTTTCCTGGAAAATTTTTCCCATTGTCAGGTAGATGCCAGTATTGTAGCTACACAAGAACAGCTTGGCTAGGGTTGCTGTGAGTCTGGAGTACATGTCTTTAATATTACTGCAGGAATATTGTCAGTCCCATAATGTTTACAGTATCCAATGCCTCCAACTGTTACTTGATATCACATGGACTGAATCAAATTGGATGAAGACTGGCATCTGTAACACTAGGGATCAGTGGAGGAGGCCAAGATGGATAACTGACTCGGCATTTCTAGCTGAAGACTACTGAGAATGCTTCAGACTTAGCTTTTGCACTTAGGTATTGGGCTCTTCCATCATTAAGGATGGATGTGTTTGTGGAGCCTCCACCTCCAGTGGAGTTGTTTAATTGTCCACCACCATTCGTGACCGGAAATGGTAGGACTAGAGCTTAGATCTGGTCCATTGGTTGTGGGATCGCTTAGCTCTGTCTATCACTTGCTGCTTATACTGTTTGGCACAAAAGTAATCCTGTTAAGGTATATCCTCATGCACTCTCCATTGAACCAGGGATGATCCCCTGGCTTGATGCTAATAGTTGAGTGGGGGATATGCCAGGCCATGAGGTTGTAGATTGTGTGTAAGTATAATTCTGCTGCTGTTGATGGCCCACAACATCTCAGATACCCAGTCTTGAGTTGCTAGATGTTCAAAATCTGTCCTATTTAGCAGTGGTAATGCCACACAAAATGATGAAGGGTATCCTCAATGTGAAGGCAGGACTTCATCTCCACAAAAACTGTGCATCATCTTAGTGATACATTCAAGGATGGATGCATTTGCAGCCAGTAGATTGGTGAGGATGAGGTCAATTACATTTTACCGCTTTGTTGGTTCCCTCACCACCAGCTACAGAACCAGTCTAGCAGCTATGTCCTTTAGGACGTGACCAGCTTGATCAGTAGCATTGCTACTGAGCCACTCCTGGTAGTAGACATTGCAATCTCCCAACAAGAGTACATTTTGCAGCCTTGCCACACTCACGTGCTTCCTCAAAGGGTTGTTCAACATTCATCACCATGGTAATCAGCAGGTTTCCTTGACCTTGTTTAACCTGATGCCATAAGACTTCATGCCATCATGTTGGAGCCAACGTTGAGGACTCCAGGGCAACTCACTCCCTCTGTATACCACTGTGCTGCCACCTCTTCTGGGTCTGTCCTGTCTGTGGGACAGGTCAAATCCAGGGATGGTGATGGTGGCACCTGGGACATTGTAAAGTATGATTTTGTGAAGCTATTGCTTGACTAGCCTGTGAGACAGCTCTCCAAATTTTGGCACTAGCTATCAGATATTAGTAAGGAAGACTTTGCAGGGTCAAAGGGCTGATTTTGCTGGTGCCTAGATCAGTGCCAGGTGTTATATCCAGTTTCATTTCTTTCTTTGAGATTTCATAGAGACCGATACAACCGAGTGGCTTGCTAAGACATTTCAGAGGGCAGCTGAGAGTCAACCAGGTTGCTGAGAGTCTGGAGTCTCACATAGGCCAGACCAAAAGAGGATGGCAGATTTCCTTCCCTGAAGGACATTAATCAGCTCGATGGGTTTTTCCGACAATCGACAGTGGTTTCATGGTCACCAGCAGATTCTTAATTCCATATTTTTTTAAAACAGAATTCAAATTCCACCAGCTGCCGTGCCAACCCCAAAACATTACCTGAGCCTCTGGATTAATAATAGATAGAATAGAATCCTTACAGTGTGGAAGCAGTCCATTTGGCCCATTGAGTCCACACGGACCCTCCGAAGAGCATCCCACTCAGATCCAGCCTCCGACCCTATCCCTGTAACCCCGCATTTCGAATGGCTAACCCATCTACCCTGCACACCCCTGGACACTATGGCAACTTAGCATGGCCAATCCACTAACCAGCAAATCTTTGGACTATGAGGGGAAACTGGAGCACCCAGAGGAAACCGACGCAGACACAGGGAGAATGTGCAAACCCCACACAAACAGTCACTCCAGGCTGGAATCAAACTTGGGTCTCTGGCTCTGAGAGACAGCAGTGCTAAGCACTGTGTCAATAATCTAGTGATAATACCATTAGGCCAATTCCATTGCTGCCATTCCACTGAGATCAGGATCTGTAGCCTCACATGTCAGTTGGATGGCTGGTCTGATAGGGTCTGTCCAGTCAAGAAATGACAGTGGCTGCAGTCAAGGCAGCAGTCAGTTCTGTCCCAAGGTGCCCTCCATCATACATCTACGAAAATGAAAAGTCCCATTGATTCCTGATTCCTGTCATCTGGGATTCCTCCATACTTCCCATCTGCTGCATTGTTCCCTTCATGGAAGGGAAGCTTTCACAAATGCTGCTGCAAAAGAGGATGTAAACTCCACAGTGACACCCCTTAAATGTCACACAGACTGAAGAATTTCCCTCAGCCTGCATATTGATTCGATGTCCCTTTAATTATTTTGTCAAGGAATGGTACACTCGGAGTTCTGATGGCTGTACCTCTTAAGGAATGAGTATTTTTACCAACTGCTTCTGCACATGTTCATTCACCTCCCACTCTCTGATTTCATCATGATGAGGAATTCACACCAGGTGAATCACTCAGCATGACTATATAAATTGCTGGTGGGTGAGAGGAAGCCTATGCCAAGTAACATTGCTATCAATTAGAGTGATATGCTTCGGCCAGAGGTGGACAGACTTGTATGAGTTGGTTCTCCCAGTTGCTAAAGCTTTTATCCTTCTCTTTGATGTTTTAGGTATTAAAATGTAGATATACTCACCTCCCCTTGCAGTAGTTTTGATGGATTTGCAAGAAATCTCAGTAGATCGAGACAAACAAACTTTACTCTCTTGAAACGACTAGACAAGGAAATGGAAATTTGTAGCTATACATATGCACTTAGGGCCGGTAGGACACTCTCTAGTTGCTGAGTTACTCACCTCTGTTGCATATTAGATATTGTGCTTTCCTCATGGTGGTAGAAACAAAGAGGGGCTGGGTGGCTGGGAGACACATTATTGATTGGCACTGCATTGGCCATGCATCCCATACTAATTTCTTATGTATTACTTCAATTGATAAGTAATAAGATCAGCAATGATGGCATGTTTGGCAAGTTTAATGGAGAGATTAAAGGAGAGATGCAAGATGTGCATATGATAGAGTGAAAGATTGTATTTTGGGTTGGTGCAAAACTGCTTTTGTCTGATGGGGAGCACGTAGTCATAACGTATACTCTTCAGTCATTACGTACTTTTAACCAGAGTGCAGTGAAAGGGTTGAGAGAGTGAAGAGTGTGTTCCTGTCCGTGGTGGAAAAGAAAGGAAGGAAAAATGTAACTGTCTTGCCATGTGAGATCAGCAGATCATTATATATTTTTCTGCACTGCTGACAAGGGAATTAACCAATAGTGTCACCACACTCAATGTGTTGCAGCTTACCAGGGTTGTAGGACTGTAGTCTTAAGAAAGCTTTGACTCATTTCCCCCATTAGAATATACCACTCTCTTGCTCCCACTAGTTTTGCCTGTTTGTGTTGAATGGATATAGGTGATGCATGGATTGCCATATTTCTGCCAACATAAATACTTTGGACATATCATGGAGAGATATGAGCAGAACTGAAAAGGAAAACACCCAAGGTACCACCTTAATGTCAGAAGGTTCTGAAAACAGAAGCTTGCAGCATTGGCCCATTATGGCACTCAAATTTCTTGGTGTTTCAGTTGTTCACTTTCATTATACATAGGAATTATCCCAAACAGCTGCTCATATACAAATAATCTTATGCATGGAATTTCTCTGTTGATTGCCAAACCATCAGCCCTGCCTTCCCCAGCGAATGAATGGAATTATTTTCAAGTATGATATGATGCCACCGATAAAGGAAATTTAAGATCACAATTAACATAAATCCATAAAGGATTAACTTCAAAATATTTAAAAATAAAAATGAAGTTGTAATTTTAAATTCTTACATCTTTTCCTCCCATTGCTTCAAACATCTTCTCCAGTTGTACTCGAAGCTGCTGGATATTGTTCATTAGAATACACGGCTATAAAAAGTACAGCATTATCATTTTTTATGTATTGTCACAGCCTTTTACTTTCAATTGGAAAAAAAGCTAAAAGTTGACAAACTATAAATAATTGTGAAACTAAAAGTAACATATTTTAAAGTTTTTTAATTTTGATATGTTTATTTTATTATATAGAATTTCTAAATGCCACGTTGTCAAATATCTATAAAAGCATCTTAAAATTCTACTAAGTTATATATTTACAGAATATAAAAAGCGGAGTCAATTTTTAAGGGAATATCAGGCAAATATTTTGAACAAACCAATGGAAAATAGTAAAACAACAAAAATAAAATGATAATTTTCAGGGCAATATCATAAGGCAAACACAGGGACTATGTTCTTTTGCAATTACAACTGCCAACAATTAAATCCTGCACAATTAATTAATTTTCAAAATAAAGGGGAGCTTGGATCCCATTAAGATGTTTGTCATCCATATTTCTGTCTTGAGTGCGGTAACACTAATAGGATCTGTGTCTAGTCCTGTTCTAGTCAATGTTATTTCTTGATTCCTATTAAACATGAAATAGGGAACATCGGCATGCTGCTGGAGACAGGCAGATTAATAAGGCATGCCCCACTAGACTCTCCTTAATCATTCCTAGTGTATAAAATATTCAGTGAAATTATATAGGAGATGTCAATGAGTGAGTCATAGATTCTGTACAGCCTTTTGCATTTGTATTCCTGAAACAATGAAACAGTAGTTAAATCTTTCTGTACTCTTTTAAAATGTTTGTTATCTGTGCACATGACTCCTAAAAGAATTCACAGCAAGTTTCTGCTGTTAGATTTTGTAAACTAGTAAGTGAGGAACACAGTTTGGATTTCTTTTTCCTTTTACATTCTTGCGAATACAATGCAATATCTTTAATATACTGCAGAAGATATTTATCCCACACATTCTTCTGTTAACTGAGCAAAAGACATATTAACATGGTAAAAAAGAAACCAGGTTGAAACAGGTAAGTAAATGGCAAATAATAAAAAGGAAAGGCAATTTAGGAATTCTGAATCTTATTGTAAATAAGGAATGTTACAAGAGCCCACAAATGACTGAGATTTTAAGACAAGTGGCAGTGTGGATTTCTTTTCATGTATGCAAATCAAAAGAGAGATTAAGATTTGTAAAAGGAAATAAATTTTTCCATATGGAATAGTAACGGATGCCATCTGCACTAACATAAAACGGATTGGTAAGAGATGAAAGAAAAAAATCAACTAATAGTGAAAATCTGAAACAAAAATAGAAATATTGGATAGAAAAAGAAACTTAAGGCTATATAGAGCCATTCATGACTTCACAACAGACCAAATGGCTTTAACAGCAATTAAATACATACATAAAGAGTAATCACTACTTTGGTACAACTTGTGCACAATGTGCAAAAAACAGAAATATAATAACAACCAAACAATCCATTTGGTTGTTTTAGTTGAGGAATTAACATATGCTGGCCCACATGTAAATATATTTCAGGCCTATTACTAACTGTAAAGAGAAAGTACAAGTTGGTGTTTGGGGTGAAAATCCTGCCATCAGTTCTAATGTATCCGCATCCAAAACCATTCCTCATGCTCTCTCTTTACAGATGCTACTATTACTGCTGTATTTGAGCAACATTACTTGAATCTATGAAGGTACTTGCATGCTACAGAAAAATATCTTATACATATTATGACGAATAGTTTACCACTTTCTCCTTTGAACAATGTGATGCATAATCCTTAGCAATTATCTCAGCATACTGCAGCAGCACATTACTGATAGTCTAAAGAAAGAAAATAATTTTGAGAAACTCAAGAGTTTGCCTTTTCTGTAAAAAAGATACAAAACAATAGCAGACATTGAAATACTGTGCCCGTGTGCAATTTATTCAGAAGTTCATCGTTTTCCTATTTTAATATCACATCACCCTCATATTTTTGCTATATCGATTTTTTTAAAAGCACATATTAGCATATGTCTTCACAATAGTAAGCATTTGTAAGTTTTATTCAGTTCTTTACAGCATGGCAATGTTAAACCTCAGGCATAGCGCAATGCACTATCGAAACTTTTGGATCCCACATTGAAGGAAATAATACATCTCTGCTCGTCATTATGTTACCAGAAAAAAAAAAGTCCTCTTTTTCCAACTTTCTCCCACCTGTTTTGTGGCAAGAAATTGTTTCAATAGTTTCCTAGCATGTGTTTCCATTTCAGGGACTTTCACTTGAAAGTGATGGTAAATATTGAATATGTTGGACCACATCTCACACATTTAAGTAATAGGATCAGAAGTAAAATATGTGATACACTTCCCATCATCAAAAACCTTGGCACTGCTAGGTGTTAGCATTTCTTTGGCAGGATGTTGTGAATGGTGGAGAGAGCCTTGCTATAAAATTCAATGAACTAGCAAGCCAAGTCCATTGATTACAGAGTGAGTAACTGCATTCGGCAAGGTTGCAATTTTTCTTAAAAAAAAAGTTTTTTTGTTATTACAGGTCCAACAATCACTGACCATTGTACTGCAATAGGAGCCACAATTTCTCATCCCTTCCACCCTCCTCATCAAACCAACGACATGCAGCAGGTGATTCAGTAGCTTTAGGAGGAGCTCACTGCGAACATGAAAGTAAGCTTGGCCAATGGAAATCCAGGTGGACGGGAGACAGGGAGTTGAAAAGACCACACCACCACCAAACTGAAATAAATCCCAGAGCTACAAAACCTTGATACAAACCAATGATGTTAACAGCAAAAAGGCAAATTCTTTATTTGAATTTATTATGTTAAGGCATTTTTACTAATAATAATATTGAATTTTGGCATGTGAGCAATCTTTCATTAATTGGGAAGAGGCCTTTGCATGAATTTTTCTCACAAATAGTACTTTTTTACCTTAGCAAATCTTTTCATATAATGCCCCACTATCTGAGGATCAGGGCACTCCAGCTTCTTAATTATTTCAAAACTCTGGTTCAATTGTGAGAACACATCCACCACAGAACAAGAGAAAAGAGCATGCTCTGATGTTTGTTGGAACTGTGAATGAAAAAAATAAGAAAATTATCTTTGATTTTCATCTTCTCACTTCTAAACAAAATGATTGCAAATGCAAATAAGTGACAGGTACCTAATTTAAATAGAAATTCTAAGTTTTATATAAATGGCAGCTTCACATTTGTGAAGTGCAAAGTAAAAGGAATTGAAATTGTCTCCTTTTTAAAAAGGAAATATTACAAAATATTAAACATACTTAAATTCAGTGCAAGATTTCTGTTTAAACAATGTATTGTCAAATGAATATTACAATCTATTCCTTTAGTACAAAACAGTTATCTGAATAAACAAATGTAAATTTTGTCTGTAATTATCGTGCTCGAATGTTTGCAGAGCATGGAAAGTAGTTAATTATAGAAGAACAAGTTTGGCAATTGGCACAAACATACAATTCACAAAACAGTCCAAAAATAATGCGAAGCACTTTCCTGATGTGTAGGGACCTGTCTAACAAAGCTCCACTTCTTCTGGTATGTCAGATGATAATAAAGGAGTGATATTACATTCTGCCAGATGTCCAGAAAAGAAGTGTAATTAGGTTGATCCTAATATATTTACTGGAGTACAGTAGTTCAGAAGATTAAAAATAGGAGCAAGAGTAGGCTATTAGGCCATCAAGCCCACTCCAGTGTTCAACTGAATCATGGCCAACTGTCCAACTCTCAGCCATTTTCCCTGCACTCTCCACATATACCATGATATCTTTAATATCTAGACAATTATCAATTTCTGACTTAAATATGAACAACGTCTGAATCTCCATTGTTTTCCAGTAAAAAGAATTCCAAAGATCTCTTCACAATTGAGTGAAGGAATTCCTCCTTATCTCAGTCCAAAATGGCCTTCCTCTTATTCTGAGATTACGTTCCTTAGATGGCTCAGCCAGTGAAACGTCCTTACTGCATTAACTGTTGAACCCTGTAAGAATCTTGTATGCAAAAAGATTGCTTTTTATTCCTTTGAACTGTAGAGAATATAGACCAGTCTCTTCATCTCCTCTTGTAGAACATTCCCAACATCCCAAGAATCATGATATACCTGTGTTGCATTCCATACATGGCATGTATACTTGTTGAATGCAGAACTGGAGATATGTTACATTTCAGGTCTAAATTTCATGCATTCTCTTGACACTGAAAGCAATGATGTTATGGAAAGTATTGTATTTCATATTCCACAAGGCACCAGGAACCATACTTTGGCACTAACCATATTTTATTATTCACTAGTTACATCATTTAATTTCAATTAAGTTGTTTACTAAAGTTAATATTATCTTTCTTGCTAAATTTCACAATTAATTGTGCTACGATAGTAGCAAACATTGGTTATCTCATGTTAACTTTGGTTATCTGATTGCTATAGCCAAGACCTTGTATGAACTAAATACTTTTCAAAAAAAAGGTCAAATACTGACAAAATGTCTGCCATGATCACCTAACGACAGACTGAGAAACAGTCAGGAGATCATTGTGGAATAAATGAAACTATACTGAAATTACAATCAAAATCTGTCAACTGAATCAGGGATCAAGAAACTCAAATCTGTACTCCAGTTCTAATTCACACTTTAATTGTAATTTCAAATACTGGGAGATGGTGATCCAGCCTACAATTAGCTTGCTTTGAAAGACAATGAAGCCAGTCTCAGGAATGCACATTGAACAATATTTCAAGCAGCTACTTCATAGAGCAGAGAGAAAAGGAATGTGGATTGGTAACAGCATAGACTGAAAGACTCACTCTTTCTTCATTTCTCTCATCATATTGGAAAACAGCATCTCGTAAAAAAAAGCAAAGTGGAGAAACCACCTTTCCCCATGAATGCAAAGATATCTACAATTTTCACCATTGCAGAAGATACCAGTCAACAAACAAACTGTGCTCTCAATTTATAAAAATTTAACACCTCAAGCGTTCTCAGGATCTTCAAACCATGAAGCCTTTTATTCTTTGCACCAGACATATGCTTCCTTTACAAGTACAGAAGTTGCTGGAAAAGCTTTGCAGGTCTGGTAGCATCTGTGAAGAAAAATCAGAGTTAACGTTTCGGGTCTGGTGACCCTTCCTCAGAACTGATGGTAGCTAAGAAAATGTCAGTTTGTAATCAGAAGATAGAGTGGGGGAAGGGGGGAAGGGGGTAAGGAGTAAATGATAGGTGGCAATAGAGCCCAAAGAAAGAGAAGAACAGTTAGACAGACAAAGGAGTTGATAACGATCTGGCTAGGAGTGTGAATAGCTGTTAATGGTCACTGATAGTGGCTAACAATAGATAGTGTGTAATGGCAGGCTATGTGACAACAAGGCCTGGTGTGTGGGGTAAGTGAGCTAGGACATGGGTGAGTTCCGAACCTAAAATTATTGAACTTGATAGAGTCCAGAAGGCTGCAGGGTCCCCAAGCAGAAAATGAGGCATTGTTCTTCCAGCTTGCACTGAGCTTTGCTGGAACACTGCAGCAAGCCTGAGACAGAGATGTTGGCCAGGGAACAGGGTGGTGTGTTAAAGTGGCAGGCAACTGGAAGCTCAGGGTCTTTTTTGTGGGCACAAAGTAGATGCTCTGCGAAGCGGTCACCTGGTCTGTGCTTCGTTTCCCCCTCTCTTCAATCTCACAACAGCGATAGGGTTCCCCACTTTGTCCTTATCTACCATCTGACCAGCATTCACATCCAGAAGATCATCAGCCAACATTTCTGCCACCTCCAGTGAGATACCACGACTAGACACATATTCCTCTCCCCTTTCTTGTCCGCCTTCCGCAGGGACCGTTCCCTCTGGAACACCCTGGTCTACTCTTCCTTCACTCTGAACAACCCCCCAAAGCCTGATGGGACCTCCCCCTGCATCCACCGAAGCTGTAACACCTGCCCAGTATCCAAGGGCCCAAACATACTTTCCAGGTGAAGCAGTACTTTACCTGCATTTCTTACAATCCAGTCTACTGCATTCACTGCTCACAATATGGTCTCCTCTACATTGGGGAAACAAAGCGCAGACTGGGTGACTACTTCGTAGAACATCTACGTTCTGCCAGCAAAAAAACCGAGCTTCCAGTTGCCTGCCACTTTAACACACCACCCTGTTCCCTGTCCAACTTCTCCATCTCGGGCTTGCTGTGGCGTTCTAGCAAAGCTCAGCACAAGATGGAAGAACAACGCCTCATTTTCTGCTTGGGGACCGTGCAGCCCTCCGGACTCAGTATCAAGTTTGATCATTTTAGGGCCTTGACTCTCCCATGTCCTAGCCCCCTACCCGATACACCAGGCCTTGTTATCACATAGCTTACCATTACACGCTGCCTATTGTTAGTCACTAACAGTCTCTATTAACAGTTATTCATACCCCTAGCCAGATTGTTATCAACTCCTTTGTATGTTCAACTGTTCTTCTCTCTCTTTGGACACTATCTCCACCTATTGTTTACTCTTTATCACCTCCCCCACCCTATCTTCTGCATATAAACCAACATTTTCCTAGCTACCATCAGTCTTGACTCAAAACGTTAACTCTGATTTTTCTCCAAAAGTGCTACCAGACCTGCTGAGCTTTACCTGCAAACCTCTGTTTTTGTTCCTCATCATAGCATCCGCACTTCTTTCGGTTTTTTTTCTAATTCCTTTTAAATCTATTACCTTTTATGTTGTATTTTCTCCTCAGGGTTAGTGGGTATTAAAATTACTTTTATCATTCAAGAAAATGTTGTAATTGGCACCTTTATTTCATCTCCATTACTATATTTTTGATTGATATTTGATGGCTGTGTACCAAAAAAGAATTTGTTACAGCCAACCTAGAGGGTGTTGTAAGGAGTGGAGCTGAATTAGCCCAACTCACTGGGTCATAACAATTTGCTGATTATAGTTAACACAATTCAGTTATGAATGCATCTAACATATTTATCACAATTAACACATTTACTTGCTTTATAATTATGCTCTACTTTAAAAATCAAATTAAAGTCAGAAGTCAGTGAATTCCTGACAATAATTCATGTATATCGAATTTATTTGTTTATATTCTGCTGCAGTTATATAATCTGGCATTTTGTGTGTACTAGCAGTACCAAAAGAGATAAAATAAGAATTAACCTCTAAGAGGCAGAGGTGGGTATTGATTTGAGAGTATTCTGCAGACTCTTCTAACCTATAGAATCCCCAGAGTGATTACTATGGTAGTATTTTCTACTAAGGGAGTTGTGGATTTTTTGTCATATTATTACTTAATTAAATATGACAGATATTTGAACATTACTAAATAATAGGAAGCCTAATAAATCCAAACTGCCTAAACTGTACTGACATTCTCATTCAGGTGAAAAATATTGGTTTATTATAAAGCTACAGTACTCATCTGCTGATTTCATAACAGACATTTAAAAATAATACAGGAAAAAAAGACTAATAAGACTTAAGAAAATTCTTTCACATCCCTGTAAAAGGTACTGTTGAAGAGAATATCTAACCTTTAACTAACATGAATTATATGCTCACTGTTCATATCAAGAAGCTGTGATTAAATCTACAGTAACACTTCATTCTTTTATTGATGCTGAATTTATTTTTACTTTTAAACCAATAAAATATACACATTTAGTGCAGTAAAAATAGCTTTTTATTTGCTTAAAAAAAAAGAGGAACTTTTTCATGCAGAAAGTGGTGCATGTATGGAATGAGCTGCCAGAGAAGGTGGTAAAAGGTATCTGGATGGGTATATGAATAGGAAGGGTTTAGAGGTATATGGGTCAAATACTAGTAAATGGGATTAGATTAATGTAAAATCTGGTCGGCATGGACAAGTTGAACCAAAGTCTCTGTTTCCGAGCTGTATTTCTCTAGACTCTAGGACTCTAAAGCATTTATACAGCATTATATTATTGCCTATGTAATACAAAATTCTTTGAATCTGTTTGCGTTTCCATTTGACTGCTGCTTCAGTGACAAATGCACTACTTATGTCTCTTTTGTTCCCCTTCTGGCCCTACTACGATGCTACTTTTTGTTACCTGAACATGCCACCACCATCCTCTCCTCAAAAGATTATTTAGACCACACCACTTTGACCAACATTTTGGCCACCACTTCAAATATTAAATAAAAACTGAAAGAACTGTGGATGCTGTAAATCAGGAATAAAAACAGAAGTTCTGAGGAAGGGTCACTGGACCCGAAACGTTAACTCTGATTTTTTTTCTTCACAGATGCTGCCAGACCTGCTGCGCTTTTCCAGCAATTTCTGTTTTTGTACCATTTCAAATATCTCTTTTTGGCTCATTATCAAAATTTTCAATAATCTATGAAATGCCTTATGACATATTTCAATGAAAATGTATTAGATAAATGGGAGCTATTGCTAACAAAACTTTCTATCTGTCATACTTTTGAAATCTCATCACCTCCTATATCACAAACAGTGCACTGCATGACCCTACCCGTCTCTAGTCACAGAGGTGGAAATGACCCCAGATGACCCTTACCTCAAGCGAATGAAAAGAGACAATTCAGATTACTATGTAATAGGGGACAAGAAAATCCTCAGAATTAGGGCTGTAAGTTTCAACCATATTTGAAATAATTTACTGTGGCATCTTTGGTGTAATTCCCCTGAGACATAGCAATATAACATCAGTTCAGACACTGGAAAAGAAAGGCATTGCCTGTGCATGCAACAATCTAGGAATCCTTGTCTCGAAGGATAAGAAACTTCGATATTGCCTTCACTTCATTTTTGTTACAAGTTCACAAAATCATATTTAATCAATTCTATTTGATTATTAAATACTGGTCTTTGTACTTCATTAGATCAAGCATTACTGGAGTACCTCATTGTTATTAAGTACCTCATAGTATTAAGAATTCAGATATTGGACGCTTTAGGTAAAACGGTATATACCTCAAAAATACAAAAACTTAACAGTATTAAAATATGGTGTATAAAACATTAACTTAAGAAGATTATTTTTCTCACTTAAAAAGCAAGACAAAGAGCTTTAGACTTTCTGTTCCCATTGATATGCAGTTACCAGTACCTCGGTGGGCAGAGGAGGAATTTGGAGAAACAGCTATTTACCTTGGATCTTCAATCAGTTTTCATAGGTCCAATAAATTTTCACTGAAAGTATGGGAGGTAGGGGGGGGCAGACACCCCCTTGCCTGCAGTGATAGGTACAATTGCATGAAGCAGCTGCATGGAACTAGATTGCAGTGGGACCCATTGTCTTTCTAATCAATTGATCAATCATCATTGGACAAGTAGCAAAATTTACAGGGATGGTTTTTTTTTACAAAGAATCTCAAGTGGCATAGCAAGGTAATATGTTCCTCCTGCCTTACTACCAAGGAAAGTGGTGTGAGCGCTCATTGAAAATATGGTAATTATCTTGATCCCAGAATTTTGTTTGGCGTAAACTGCATAACTGTGTTGCAAACATTCTACCTCTCCCCAAATCACTCTCTTCAAAGTTACTGCAGAAAATTCAGTTTTTATCATAGCCATGCAGTTATGACATAGAGTGTGCTGCCTGAATGGGTAGTCAAATCAGATTCAATACTTTCAAAAGGAAATAAAAACAGAAATTGCTGGAAAAAGTCAGCAGTTGTGGCAGCATCTGTGGCGAGAAATCAGAGTTGATGTTTCAAGTCCAGTGACCCTTCTTTGGAACTGTTGGTAGCTAGGAAGAAGTCGTTTCTTTAAAATGGGGCTGAGGTGGTGGGGGGTGCTGGATAAGGAGTAAGCAATAAGTGGAGATAGAGCCCAAGAGACAGAAGGACAGTTGAACAGAGAAAGGAGTGGGTGAAACAACAAATACTGGAGATCACAACGGGTCATACAGCATCCATGGAGAGACAGCAAGCTAACGTTTTGAGTCTAGATGACCTCTGAAGATGAGTCACTTACACTCTAAACGTTAGCTTGCTCTTTCTGCATGGATGCTGTCTGACTCCCATTTGTTGCTTTCAGTACATATCCAGCATCTGCAGTAATTTGCTCCTACAAAGAAGTGGTTAAAAGTCAGTCTGGGGAAATGAGTAGCTGTTAATGGGGACCATTAGTGACTGATAATGGATTGTGTGTGGTAACAGACCATGTGATGCCAAGGCCTGGTAATGTCAGGGTGGGGGATAGCTTAGGGAAAGGTGCTTAAGCCCTAAAATTGTTAAACTCGATATTAAGTCCAGAAAGCTTCAGGGTTCCCAAGCACAAAATGAGGTTCTGTCCTTCCAGCTTGCATTAAGCTTCACTGGAGACTGCAGCAAGCCCGAGACAGGGAACAGGGTGGTGTGTTGAACTGACAGGCAATTGGAAGATCAAGGTCATTTTTGCGGGCAGAATGTAGGTGTTCTGCAAAGCGGTCACCCAGTCTATGCTTTGTTTCCCCAATTTACAGTAGACCACATTGTGAGCAGTGAATGAAATAGACTAGATTGAGTGAAGTGCAGATAAAGCACCAGGAAGGTGTGTTTGGACCCTTGGATAATGAGGAGAGAGGAAGTAAATGGGCAGGTGTCACACCTTCTGTTGGGGAAAGTGCGGTGGGTTTGTGTGTGGATGTTGGGAGTAATGGAGGAGCAGACCAGCATGTCCGAGAGGGAATGGTCCTTGCAGAAGGCTGACAAGGCAGGAGAGAGGAATATGTGTCTGTAAAGGGAATTGGATAAATAATTGAATGGGAAGAAATTCTTAGCCTATGGGGAATGAAAAGAGAGCTTAAACTGTTTGAATAGCTTTTTCAACCAGTCAGTACAGGCATAATAGGCAAAATATGATTCTATGTACACTGCCAAATCAGTATGCCCCCAAATAAAATATATAAAATCAATTTCTCTGTACATTTAAACGAAGAAATTAGATCATTCAATCATATATGCAAACTGTCTTACACCATCCTTCTTGTCTCTTTCCAGTGCTCCATGCAGAAAGTCTCTTGATACTTCTTCATTTTCATCCAACCATTGTATAACAAATGGTTCAAACCAGCTGTGGAAAATTGTTCCAAATTTTAATACTTGTTAGATTTATGAAATATGTCATACTCTTCATTCAGAATATGGTTCATGAACAGGTACAGCGTACATCAATAAGAGGAAATAGAAAGATATGGGCAGCTTATTTCATGAGATGCACTACCATTTAAACTGTTCTATCCCGATGATGTCTATAACCTAATATAGAAGAAAGGACAAAGATAGAGGCAACACCTGGTCTATATTTCTCACTGGGCAATATAACCAGTCAATTACAGACCAGGTTTGTTCCCATCTGCTAAAGTAAATATGATGACAGAAACTGACTTGTCTGACTTTCCAATGACTAGACCATTGAACCTCCTTTTATTTATTGCTAGTTATATACTCTGCTGTTGTGGTAGCAAGTCACAAAGTCCACTGGAAGCTCTCTGGCTTGATGTCCTGATGAAGATAGTTCAGCCAGAGAGATTTTAATTACATAGATGGCACAGAAACAGGATATTAGGGGGCTGAATGGGAAGACTCCTTCCTGTCATATTATCTCTTCCCACTTCTACATTTGAATTCCGTCCTATTGTATGCCAGTTAGTCTAGCTTTGGACAGATTATTAAGACATTAGTATGTTCAAACAATAACTAGTTTATTACATATTACAGTACTACATACAGCTTTATGCTAGTATATCCATCTCTACTGAAGCATGATCAAATTCACTCTAAGTATCTCAGTTATGTGTACTCTTAAGAGTCCCAGACAGCAACCCTTGCAATCCTAATACAATATCTCACTACTCTATGCCGAATCTATCTATTGTCTATACATTTTACATTCATATTTATTCATTACCTTTTTTCCCCTTGCCTTGGCCGCAAATTTTTGACATCACAATTCAATCCATCTCAACACTCTGTTCTTGAGAGACTTGAAAAAAAAACTGTCTCTCTCTGAACTTGACTTCGATGGCTTTCATGGAGACTAGTAGCATTTTGGTCTTTATTAGTTTTTGTGTTAACATTTGGTTCATCCAGTCTTATTTTATACTCTTTATGTTAGACTCCTTCTCTGCCTTTCTCATACCTTTTCTCAATACATCAGTTTGTTAGTGTTCCTCTTAGCACACTAATAAACTACTAGTTTTGGTGAAATCTCCAGGCCTTGAAAACTTGGATAATCCTGGACCTTTAGCTTTGGAAGTAATTTTCTGGCTAGGATGGGAAGCTGTATTTGGAGTTTTTGCCCATCAGTTTTGCCAACAGTTCTGACGATGCCATCTCACATTGAATTCCCTCCTTTTGTATTGTCGTGCAATTGGAAAATCTGTGTCCTTCAGTAACAATGCATTACCGAACATTGCCCAGCAAGCTTAGTGACAGGAGAAATTACTTCCATATTGATAACAGATTCATAGAATCACTACAGTGTGGAAACAGGCCATTTGGCCCAACAAGTCCACACTGTTTCTCCAACGAGCATCCCACCCAGACTCACCCCTCTTACCCTATCCCTGTAACGCTGTACTTCCCATGGCTAATCCACCTAATCTACACATCCGTGGACTCCAAAGGCAACTTAGCATGGCCAATCCACTTAACCTGCACATCTTTGGACTGTGGGAGGAAACCCACACAGACATGGGGAGAATGTGCAAACTCCACACAGACAGTCACCCGAGGGTGGAATTGAACCCAGGTCCCTGGTGCTGTGAGGCTGCAGTGCTAACCACTGAGCCACTGTGCCTCCTATTGAAAGTGAACTTGTTTCCTTAGCAGAGCTGGAATCTTCCAATATGTGTAAAGATACACATATTTAGCATATTTTTGTAAAGCATTGTTACATTCAGTGTTTCACCTTCCCAGAGTAGTAAGTAATTTCAGAAAGCAGTTTCTGCAGTCAGTCCTGGAATCTTGCTCACTAATGTCTTCAACATGCCTGATTAAGATCAAAGTCTATGCAAGCTTGAGATGTAGAATCAGTTCGGTTGGAAATAAGGAATAGCATGAAAGTATGTCACAGGTGGGAATTGCCCATAGCTTCTCAGAGATGCCTCACTGTAAGACAAACTATAAATCAAGAAACAATGGAGCCATGTAAGAAGAGCACAACAATTGTCATGGGTGACTTAAAACTGCATAGTCACTGGATAAATCAGAAGGGCAAGGGTAACACAGAAGAAGAATTTGTATTGTGCATCAGAGATTTTTTTTAAGCACAGTATATTATAGAACTTACAAGGGAAGAGGCAATTTTAGATCTAGTAATATAAAATGAGATGGCAATCACATGATAAAATTTCCAATTCAGTTTGGGGGAGAGCCAGTGTCTCAAACCAGTATCCACAATTTAAGAAAAGGCAATTACAGAGGTATGAAGTCATCTGAACCAGGCTGGGAAAACAGCCTAAGGGAAGGTCAGCAGATGACCAAGGCAGACATTTAAGCAGACAATTCATAGTGCTCAGCAAAAAACTTATTCCAAAAACAAAAGATCTTAATAAGATGGATGAACCAACATGGTTAACAATGGAGGTCAAGGAGAGTATCCAATCGAATTGGAGGCAGTTCAGAGAAGGTATTCTAGGATGATCCCCGGTATTGAGGAACTGTCTTATGGAATAAGGGTTAAACAGGTTGGGATTTTCTTCAATGGAATTTAGAAGAATGAAAAGTGATCTCATTGTAACATATAGGACTCTTAAAGAGCTTGAAAGGGTAAAATGCTGTGAGGATGTTTCCCCTCATGGGAGAGTCTAAGACTAGAGTGCATGGTCTAAGAATTAAGGGGTGACAATTTAAAACTGAGTAGAGGAGGAATTTCTTTTCTGAGGGTTGAGTGTTTTTGGAACTCCTTTCCACAGAGAGTCCTTGTGTACATTTAAGGCTAAGGTAAACAGATTCTTGATCAGTAGCGGATTTAAGGGGTAAGGGCAAGAAGATGGATGTGAGAAATGTTGGATCAGCCACAACCTTATTGAATAGTGGAGCAGGATCTTGAGGCCAAACTGTGTATTCCTGTTCTAATTCTTAAGGTTATGGTCAAAGTGAAGGAAACTAGTTGTAGGCCACAGTGTTAGGAACTTTTTTTTTCTTTTCAGGAACCAGCTGCTAATAACTAAGGAGCTAATAAAGAGAGAGAAAATTGATGATGGAAATTTGTTAAGAAAGATTGAAAGAAATAGCAAGAGCTCCTATAGGTATATAAAGAGAAAGAGAGTAGCTAAAGTCAGTGTCAGACCAAGGAAGTGGCAGATAATTTAAGCCAATGTTTCACACATTGGTCTTCACAGTGGAGGACACTATAAACATCCCAAAGCTAACTGATAAGCAAGGTGCTAGGTGGGGGGGGTGGCGGGAGGTGGGGGCCATATCTTGTAACAATTTCTGTTATTTGGGACAAAGTATTGACAAACTGATAGGACTAAAAGAAAACAAGTCATTAGAACATGATGGCTAGGGTTTTAATGGAAGTGGCTGCAGAGATAATAGAAGCACTGGTCAAAATATTACAGAGCTTTCAGGGTTCTAGAAGGATTACAGCAGATTGGAACACTGCTAATGTGATACCATTAGGGAGAAGGGAAGAAGACAAGATGCATGAAACTTTGGGCAGCATGGTTGCTCAGTGGTTAGCACTGCTGCCTCACAGCACCAGGGAAGCAGGTTTGATTCCACCCTCGGGCAACTGTCCGTATGGAGTTTGCACATTCTCCCTGTGTCTGCGTGGGTTTCCTCCGGCTTCCTCCCACAGTCCAAAGATGTGCAGGCTAGGTGGATTGGCTATGCTAAATTGCCCATAGTGTTCAGGTGGGTTATACAGGGATGGGTCTGTGTGGTCTCTGAGGGTCGATGTGGACTTGTTGGGCTGAACGGCCTGTTTCCACACTGTCGGGTTTCTCTCTGATTGTCTCTGATATATGTCAATTAGCCTAACATTTGTCATTGGGAAAATGCTAGAGTCCATTATTATGGAAGAAATGGCAGGACATTTAGCAAAATTCAACATAATCAAACAGAGTCAACAAACAAAAACAGAAATTGCTGGAGAAACTCAGATCTGGTAGCATCCATACAGAGAAAACAGAGTTAATGTTTTGAGTCCGTCTTCAGAATTAGCAGATGTTGGGAAAAGGTGGTATTTAAGCTGATGGCAGAGAACGGGGGTAGGGTGAAAGAGTGATTGGATCGATGGAGGAGGAGCCGAGACAGTGAGCCCAGAGAGTGAGCTGGAGGTGGGGATACAGCGACAGAGGCAGGGACAGGGAGAGCGAGAGCAAAAGAGCGAGTGAGCGAGAGCGAGACAGCAGTAGGCAGGAAAACCATTCACTCCTTTCTTGCCTACCCACTCCCTCGCATCAACTTAAATACCACCTTTTCCCAACTGCTTCGAGTTCTGAATAATTCACAGGATTGGTTAATAGTTTGAGAGGATGAGGTGGGAGAGAGCCATTGAATGGACATGATCCGTGCAGTAGTGAGTATTTTAGTCTATGAGCCTTTTTAGTCTATGAGCAGCAGCAACGTTAGAGTGAGCAATGGGCCTGTGAATTTGAGCAAGCAGATAAGATGCTGGATCTTGCTGGCACTGCTTGAGGAGCTTAGAAGATCATTGACCTTCTTCCTGCTCTGCTGGGCATCCTGCTTCACCAGCATACCCACAAGTGAAAGAGTTTCCCCACATTTACCCTCATGAATCTCTTTTAATTTTATCATTAAAGATCTCGATCAGAGAAAAGAACCGCAGCCTCTTCAATGATTCCCTGTTTGTTGTATCATCTCAACTCTATCTTTTCTAATTTCCTTGTAAATCTTTTCTTAACTTTCTTGATAGTTCCAAACACATTTTGTACCAAGTAAGCAACACTAATTGTGGTCTAGCCAAGGTTTTGCACAAATTTAACATTAGCCCATTCTGCTTTTGTGTTTTAAAAATTATTTTTTCACTATTTATGGCCTTAAAAAACTTGTGCCCTCTCTTTTAGTGATTTATCTATGTATGTTTTCAATTGTTTTTTCTCTCTATTTAATTTCTTAAATTTCAAGGAATACATGGCCTCCTTATTCCTCTAACTAAATGAAGCACTTAACTATATCGAGTTGAATTTGTAATTTATCCACCCACACTGCAAAACTATTATTCTGTTTATTATCCTGTCTCAGTTTTCCATCATGAGGTAACAAATGCTTCATGGCTGTCTGCTCCCTATTTCTATTATCTCATGGGCAGTAGGCAGTGAGGTAAATCTGTTGAAATTTGGGTAGTAATATGTTTGATGTTAATAACCAAACTGGTAGGTAAATGTACTTTAAAATCTGCAGATGGCTGCATACAGTCCAGTTGTGTTTCCTGAGCATTCAAGCTCTATTGTCGCAATCATTGTAACAATGATAGCTGTCATACTTTAGTTAGTTTCTATGTTTGCAGGTTATCTACACATAAAATGGTTAAAAACAGACTATAACTGTAGTGCAATATAAAATGAAATATTTATTTCAGATGTCTATTTTTTTTAATATGTAAATATTATTTCCATACAACAATTAGAGAATATTTTTGGTACAAAATTTAAAATATGTAATTTCATCAGACTGTTATTGGCTTACAATGGCACTTTAATAAACTAAATTATGTGTAAATAAACAAAGAAAAATACATTCCAAAACACCAATGATTTGTACAAGTATTATTTGCTGGTTTCAAATTTTTCGTCAATGGGATTTGATGGACTGATTAAATTCTGAACTAGTACAACTTTATTAGCAATTTCGATGTAGTATTTGAAATTATTTACTGTCAAATGATAGTGAACACATCAAACATTGGCAAAAACAGGTTAATTAATTCAGCTTGGCAGGTCACCTTGAGCCAATCTGGAGGTGTTCTATTTCTTCATACATTTATAATGAAGGAAGTGCTAGGCTAGCCTACACATTGATTTAAGTTAGAACCCGGAGGCCAAATAGCTGTGGAGCCATGAGGCAGGCAAACATGCACTAAGTTTTCAGGTAAAAGGTGATCTGTGGCTTTCACCACACTAAGGCTTGAGAAATGTTGTGATAATCTGTCCTTTCCTTTCAAATACAGACTGAACTTATGTTTAGATTCTGCATTTTTTACTTTTTTCAGGTTTCTGACTTTCAATTTTCCAATACTTCTATATTAACATGTCAATATTCACAGATGTTCCATGCTTTTGCAGTAGGTGTTATTCAATCATTTAGGCTTTTACTCTTTTCTTGCAATTAATTGAATAAATGAAACAACTTTAGACACAAAATTCTTGTATAAAATCTGCAAGTTATTTCAAGTAAATACATTTTTGTTGTTTATTATTATGGCAGGATTGCAGCACCTTTGTGCCTACACACTAATGTGAACGTGGAATCACTTGCTGTATCAATAATATCTGGAAGTTTTTTAAACTAGGTAGGCCTTGGGAAAGGAGACTTAAATGAGTCCAAAGTCGTGCAGGTTAAGTGGACTGGCCACGCTAAATTGCCCATAGTATCCAAGGATGTTTAGGCTAAGTGAATTGGCCGTGGTAAATGCCAGGTTATGAGGATAGGGTGGGGATTGGAGCCTGGGTGGGATGTCCTTCAGGAGGGCCAGTGTGGACTCAACAGGCTGAATGGCCTCTTTCTGCACTGTAGGGATTCAATGATTCTATGAATATTTTAGGCACACAGATGTAATAACAAAAAGAAGCTGTTGCCGGTTTCCATTTGTCCACTGTTCTCCTGGAGTCAAATGCAAATAGAACAGTACTCTAATTAGTTAAACATTTGTAACATCTAAGATTAGAACTGCTTTGAAAAACCCAACACTTGCTATACCGGAGATAGTAGGAACTGCCGATGCTGGAGAATCTGACATAACAAGGTGTAGACCTGGATGAACACAGCAGGCCAAGCAGCATCAGAGGAGCAGGAAAGCTAACAAGGTGTAGAGCTGGATGAATACACCTGCTCCTCTGATGCTGCTTGGCCTGCTGTGTTCGTCCAGGTCTACACCTTGTTATACCACTTGCTATACCAGGAGCTACATTTCTGAATTGATTAAATGAGTACTTACGCGGGGTACTCTGGGACTGAATTCTTAAAAGCTGGCAAGTCTTTTACATACTCGTTGTACAGCCACTTCACTTTGAAGTGTAGATTCATGTAATCTGCACTTTTGCAGAGTCTGTGCTTCTCATGTTCTGAAAGGCAGAAGTAAGATAAGTTTATAAAGAAATTACAAAGTTTTGCAATAGAATCAAAAGTTCCAGTTATTTTCATTCATGTTTGCCTTGCATGTTTTTGTAAATGCAACAAATTTTCTGCATCACTTACATTCGTTTGCTATAATACATTTAATTATAGATCACATTTCATGGACAAATACTTCAAAGTGTCTTTTGCAATTAATTCCTTTTTGAAGTTAAATAGCAGTTATGTGAGCAAGACGCTTCTTGCAATTGTCAGTGAGGAAATTGTGCCCAGAATATTCAATTTATTTAGAACTCAATTTAATACCTGAAAAGTACTCCTGCTTAACATCTTGCCCGTTATGCCCTACTGCATTGCTTTTGGCCGTTATACAAAATCTAATTAAAACATGAACAGTCTAAAAGTATTTGGGAAGAATTTTACAGGTGGCAGAATCTCCTGTCCCACCATGACTGGTCCTGAGGCTCAACAAAGAAGGAACAGTACTAAAGAGTGTCTGATATATAAAGGGGCCCATTAAAAGAACCGTTTGCCTCCCCCACCTGAGGTCCCACAATTATCAACACTAGGAAAAAGTTACTGAGCAAGCTATTGAGATTGAAGCTAGCTGAGTCTCCAGCACCTGATGGCCTACATCCTAGGGTTTTAAATGAAGTTGCAGCAGTGATACTGGATCCATTGGTTATAATATTTCAAAATTCCCTGCATGCAGGAAAGGTTCCAGTAGATTAGAAAAATGGTAATATAACACCCTTATTCAAAAAGAGAGGGAGGCAGAAAGTAGGAAACTACAGGTCAGTTAGTTTAACATGCATCACTGGGAAATTGTTAGAGTCCATTATTAGAGAAGTAATAACAAGGCATTTGGAAAGTCAGAAAACAATCCATCAGAATCAGCATAGTTTTGTGAAGGGTAAATCATGTTTGACTAATTTGCTAGAATTCTTTGAAGATGTAACAAGATTTTTGGATAATGGGGATTCTATAGATGTAGTATATCTGCCAGAAGGCATTTGATAAGGTGCTGCACAATAGGTTAACATACAAGGTAAGATCATGTCGGGTTAGAATTAGTTCATTAGCTTGGATAGAGGATCTGATAATCAACAGAAAGCAGACAAACTGGTTGGAAACACATCATTAATGGAATGGCACAGGCTCGGCCCTTGGCCCCCAACTATTTACAGCCTTTTTTAGTGACTTGGATGTAGGGATACAAGGTACCATAGCCAAATTTGTAGAAGACACTAAAATAGGTGAGAATATAAGCTGCAATGAAGGAATAAGAATTTACAAATGGCTATGGATAGGTTAGGTAAATGGGCCAAAGTTTGGCAGATGAAGTTTAACATGGATAAGTGTGAAGAACCTGAGTGTCCTCATACATGAATTGCAAAAGAAAACTATTTTGCAGGTAGTAAAGGAAGGCAAATGTAATTTTGGCCTTGCTAAAGGAATAAAGTATAAAAATTGGGAAGTGTTGCTACAACCACACAAGGCATTAGTGAGACTGCATCTGGAGTACTGAATACAATTTTGTTCCCCTTACTTTGGGGGGGGCGGTAATAGTTGCATTGGAGGCAGTTCAGAAAGGTTTACTGGATTGCTTTCAAAGATGAGGTGCCTGTTTTATGAAGAGAGATCGAGTAGTTAGCATCTCTGGAGTTTAGAAGAACAAGAGAAGATATAATTGAGGACAAGGTGCCGAAAGTAAATGTAGGAAGGAGGTTTCCTCTTGTGGGGCAATCTAGAGTGAGAAGTAATAGTTTAAGGATAAAGGGTAGCAGATTTAAAAGGTGAAATTACTTATCTCGAAGGATCATGAATCTGTGGCATTCACTACCCCTGAGCAGTAGTTGTTGAGATATTGAGTAAATTTGAGGAGATAGTCGGATTTTTAATTAGTAATGTGTTGAAGGGTTATGGAGAGTGGGCAGAAAAGTGGAGTTAAGGCCGAGATGAGGTCATCCATGATAATATCAAATGGCAGAGTGAGCTGAAGGGAATGAATTTTTTTACTCCTACTCCTAGTTCTTATGTTCTTATGTCCAAGATTGGTGACCTGCCAGGTTTCCCCTCATCCATGAATAGGTGCTCACTTAGGACCTCAACTGGAGCATGGGCACATGGGGAGATGATCTTGCCCTTTCCCACCCCCTGTAAAATTGTAGCTAGGTTGGTGACAGGTAGAAGCATAGTGGGAAGGCCATCCAGACATCTTTTACCCAGCAATCTGCCTACACATCTACTAGATGATAACACAATGCCTTTAACACTGAACCTGTTTGACACAGAAGATAACTAGCGCAAGAACACAGGAAAATATTTCCCTGGACAAGATCAGTTTTTGTTTGGCAGAAATAAAATGAAAGCTCTTAGAGGTAATATATGAGCTGGCAAACTAGGTTAGAAACATGGAACACTGTGTAAATAATTCAGGAGATGCTAGCAAGCTGGGTGTTTTCCCCAGAAGTGACCAAACTCTGATTGGGGGTGTTACTGGTTGATCAACCGTAAAGGAACACTGGAAAGCTACATGATTAGACATGTCACTCCTTGCAGCTATGTGGTACTGTGTACCTACACCGTTCCACAAAATAATGTACTTTATTAATGTAGACTAGATCAGGACTCTTTTCTGACAACATTGATACTCGTGGGTGGAGACATTCCTCAGGCACACTACTACAAACACTTTCTCCCCCTCAGGTTACTTTAAACAGTTGTATAACTATTTAAAGTAAATATATCTTTTCATTTGAAGTATAATTTGGCTGTTAACTCATACTTAATTTACTTTGGTTCCGATTTGTGTTAAAATAAAAGTTATAAAAAATTTTCTTGCAAACTTACTTCATTCAGGGGTCTCGAGCAAATTTAATTATTTTGCTTTACAGTTGCCCTGTTGTAACAGCATTTATTCCAAAGTATTCTCTCATAGAATCTGATTTTTCTGACAAATTGTTTGATAAGGCAAATATCACACAAATTTATATATCGGTGTTTTAATTATATAATCCAATGCTAAATCATTCTCAACATCACAAATAAAGGTAAAAACAACATTTCTTTTCATTTTTGATTATTGGATGTTATTTATATTTCAGGCTAATTTTAGGGTTCAGAACAATTTAAAATGAGGAATGTCTTTTTTATAGTTTATTTATATGGTCAATTGATTGAATTGATTTGCTATAAAAATAATAATTTTTAAACAAAACTAGAGATTAGGACAGGATTTTTCAAAAAAATAAATTAAGCTGATGCGAAGAGTAAGCTTTCAGTGAAAGAATTTACTGCTATATTAATGCCTTGAAGCAAAAAGCTGCACATGTCTGGCCAAGAATGGTATTGAAGGTTAGTAGAGGTACAGTTTATCAAATAATCCAACTAACAAGATAAATGCAGGGTTGCTGCAGCCAAATATGAACTAACTGGGCACTGCTGCCAGTGGCATTATTTGTCATCGGAATGTCTTGAGATCTCCTGTCTCTCAGGCTGCTAATTGAAGTAAACAGCTATTTTCAGACTTATGTCAATGGAATCTCAGGATATTCGTCTCTTTAAAGCCACTTAAGTTACAGGTTATGCCCATTAACGTAAATGCTGGCCCTCTTTGATTTTCTGCTTTCTTTCTGAAACATTGATTCAAAGTGCCAGCCCCAATCCACCCAAAAAGTGAAATCTGACACATTTATCACATATTTTCTAGACAATAGAAAATTGCTCCACGTTCTTTTTTAAGACCTTTAGGAAACCACTTTAAGCAGAAAGTGCCTTCCTAGTTTTTCTTTTGCACTAAAAGCACATATTTTCCATAATGAGCAATCTTTCATCATCACTAGGTTGCGAGTAATTTAGCATTGCAAAACACATTCATGGTTCTGAAATGATCTTTATTTATACCAAGGCAATTTCCATCTGTGTTTTCGGCAGAGAAAATTCATCTTGCGCTGACAGGTTATGAATATTTTTAAGCTGTTGACTTCATTAATCTGTTCACAGTTAAATTTAAAATAGAAGTGAATTACACTAGTATTTGTGACATCTTGATTTTGTGGAAGTATTAACATTCTCACTACATGCTAACCATAACTAAGCAGGATTCTTCTAGACCAAATCATGTTCATTATGACTCAAATAATTAAATTGCAATTCTTCTTAAAATGCTTGAATTAAATAGGCAATTACATTCTCTGAAAAAAAGGATAAAATTAGTAAAACTATAAAGTGCTAATTGGAAACTTGATTTTTTTCCACAATATTCGTATAATTAACCTTCATAATGAACATTTATTTTGAGATTTCGGATCTGTAACCATGAAGTAACAGATGGGAAATTCCCAAAGGTCCATGGTCTAATTGCTCATCAGAAACTACTGAAGCAAAGAACTAAAATGCTACAGATCTTTTGCCACTAACAATGAAGAGACAATACAATATTCCATTCACTTTAACCCTTTTCTATTTGTCTGAAGTAGCAAAATGATGTTTTCTCTGCAGTGACAATTGAACAGTCTTCTTCTATTGCTTGTTAATATCATCACTAAGCACATTATAAACTTAAAATAAATTATAATGTGCTTTATGTCATAATTCCTCATTCATCAAGTCAATATTAAACAGTTCTCAAAATATTTTAAATTACATGCAGTTCAATATAACTTGGTTTGAAGCCAGTGATAAATCTTTCACCAACCTGAAATATTCATCTTGTATAATGGCAATAATCTAGTTAGTGTCTCTGGAAACATGATTGGATTAGTCAGTAAAATAGAAATTGTATTCTACACTCAGCTATCAGTTCAGATTGCTGAAAATTTTCAGCACTGAACACCTTCTGCAGTTTCCAGAATATACCTATACGGCAAGATCTGGGTGGCACAGTGGTTAGCGCTGCTGCCTCACAGAACCAGGGACCCGGGTTTGATTCCAGCCTTGGATGACTGTCTGGATCTGGGTAGAATGCTCTTTGCTGGGGTGGGGGGCG